GTCTTGGTCGTTGTGGTTGTGGTTGTGGTCTTAGTTGCGATTGTGGTTTTAGTTGCGGCTGCGGTTGCGGCCGTGGTTATGGTTGTGGTCGCGGTTGTGGTTGCGGTCGCGGTGGTTGCAGACTTTATGCCCTTTTTGGTCATCAAATTCATTCGAGTCAGAGTATTTAGGTTCGTTCCGACTTGAATAACTGTCAACGGTCGTCTATTGGTTAGCGGATAGTTGACATGAAGTTTTGTGAGAGGTGGTTGATCGAAGCTTGGCGCTATGTTTAGCGCAGACACCGGAATCTCTGTCGGAGTTATTCCCAGTCGAAAGAATCCGTGATCCAAAATTTGTTGAATAGTTGGTCGCTTAACTTGAATAGATAGGACATCAAAATAAAGTTAGAAATACTCACAATTGAACCACAAATTTCTAATTTTTCACAATTTACCAGGATCTAATGTAAGCATCAAGTTAATCAATTTCTTTGCTTCTTGAGATACATCCGTGACGCTATCCGGAAAGCTGTACCTTAATTCTTTGATTCTCCTAGAGAATTGATATAAAGGCACTATAATATTATTGTAAGTTTATTTTGCCAGAAATGGTCTAACTGAACCCACTTATATATTTGATTAACTTCTCCGTCTGTCTGAAACGGTGGCTTTCCAAATAACAACGTGTACCTGTTGACAATAAAACATAAACATTGAACAAAGTACTGTAAAAAAAGACCCATCACACTCTTAAATTGATGATAGTTGAAGTTTACATTATAACGCCTAATGACCATACGTCGGCCTCAAAACTGTGACCGTTACTCTGATCAAATAGAACTTCTGGCGCGATATAATTTGGTGTACCACATATTGTTCTATGGAAAAGAGAATTTATTGCAAATATGAATATCGTGTACTGATAGATTGTGATTTTACACAACAGCTTACTTTTTCCTTTCACCCTCTTGTTCTAACCGCGCCGCCAGACCGAAATCTCCGATTTTGATCTTCATGTCCCTGGACAAGAAGAGATTCGCCAATTTGAGATCACGGTGAATGACGAAATTATGGTGCATATATTCGCACGCGTCCAAAAGTTGACGCATGAAATAACGAACTTCTGCTTCGGTCAATCTTCGCCTCTTTTTGTTCATATAGGCTAAAGTCTAACAACGCGGATTTATCAAGATCGGATCTCGTGAGTTTAACGATGCGATTCAAAGACTGCGTTCTCACCTTGTTCTCGCAGAGCTCCATGATCATATACACAAAAGAAGAGTCTTCGCAACAATCATAGAACCTGACTATATGAGGATGATCCATCATTTTGTGAATCTGAATTTCGCTGAGAAGCTAAACGCGATTATAATTTATGATAAGTAAAAAAAAATTTTTTTTTTCGGAATATTTCACCAATTATGTCCGTCCGGAAAAATTGTGAGTGATTATAATCAAATTACCTTATCTTTATTTTTAGGATTACGTAACGTAGACTTGGCCACAGCTTTCACGGCAAGAAGCCTTCCGTCCTTGTCTTCTACCTCATAACATCTTCCGAATCCCCCCTTTAACATTAATGAACAGGAGTATATAAATCGTCAGCTTGAAAAATTAATCTTAGGTTCTGTAAAATTGTAACTTTGAGCAATCCAGGCAGCAAAGTTCAATGGTGAATGCATTAGGTACAACCTCTCCGAGTAATCCATGTCGTCTAAATTCATGGTTCGGCTTTTTAGGAGGCTTAATAATAGCAGGTGGTTCTGGTAAGCTTCTACCATTTCGCACAAGACTGCGTTTCCCGTTGTCCAGGCCGCTATTCAATATGTAAGGAACGGGAGGGTTGTGGATGACGATCGGATAATTATCGAGACCAAACGTTAGAAGTTTAACTTAATTTAGAGTTTGTTATTCCGATATGGTATGATGTAAGGCCACATG